CCGCCGGTCTGCCCCGCGATGGCGCCTCGGCCAACCAGCTCAACGGCGCTCCCCACGCCTTCGGAGGCCACCGCAGGATTCAGAGCCACGCCCCTCGCTCCGGTCCCATGGGCAGCTTCTCCACCGGCAACTCTTTCAACGCCGGTCTCGGCGCCAATGCCAACTTTGTGCCGAGCCAGCCCGTTTCGCAGCCACCCATGCTTCCCCGCGGTCACGGCCGCAGGCACTCGGTCAACGTCGTCAACAAGGCCAATCAGCAGCAACAGCAACAGAACAGACAGCCAGACGCACAGCAGCTCCAGCAACGCCGTGACTCGCCCAACGCCGACGCCGCCCAGTCGGCCGGCCCAGTCATGCAAGCCAACCCCGACTTCTCGTTCCCGAGCACGGCCAGTGCCCAGCGCGCGGCTCAGCCCGCCTACCAGCCCTCGCAGCCTACCGTCGGTCATTACAGTCGCCCTTCGGCCCAGCTCACCGACCTCTCTCAGGATTACCTCATGGCCGGAGGCGGTTTGGTCAGCTTCAACTCCTTCGGCATGGCTGGCTCCATGAACGAGCTTGCCGATGGTTTCGGAGGTGCCGGCGCTGGCGGTCCCCGCGGTCACGGTCGTGCCAACAGCACCCAGTGGCGCATGAACGGCGCCCAGGCTCCGCAGCTCGTCGACCTCGCCCAGGCTCAAGCCCACCTCGCCATGCTCCACCAGTTCCGCGAGTCGGCCGCTGTCACTGGCCACTACCGCGCCCCGTCGCTCGGCGGTGGTTTCAACCCCATGGCCGGCGGTTTCGGCGGCAACCAGTTCGGCGGCGGTATGGGTGGACCTGGCGGTGGACCGGGCGCCGTCCAGCGCAAGGCTCTCTTTGGCAACTACCTGCCGCAGGGTACGCTGCCCACGCTGCTCGCTCACGGCAAGATCGTTGTCGGTGTCCTGCGCATCAACAAGCGCAACCGCAGCGACGCCTACGTCTCCACCGAGGTGCTCGACAGCGACATCTTCATCAGCGGTTCCAAGGACCGCAACCGTGCGCTCGAAGGCGACCTTGTCGCCGTCGAGCTGCTCGACCCCGTCGAGGTCTGGAACGTCAAGCGCGAGAAGGAGGACAAGAAGAAGCGCAAGGAGGAGCAGAGCGGCCAGTTCTCCCGCAAGCCTGACAAGGCCAAGGACGACCTCGAGGTCGAGGGTGCGCAGCTTCGTCTCATCGAAGACGAGGAGGAAAACGAGCAGAGCCCTCCTCCGCTTGCAGGCCACGTCGTCGCCATTGTCGAACGCTCGCCCGGTCAGCTCTTCTCTGGCACCCTTGGTCTTCTCCGACCCTCGTCGGCTGCCACAAAGGAGAAGCAGCAGGCCGAGAGGGTTCAGCGCGAAGGCGTCAGCGCCCTTGCCCCCGAGGTCAAGCCGCGCCCCAAGATCATCTGGTTCCGTCCCACCGACAAGCGCGTGCCTCTTATCGCCATCCCCGCCGACCAGGCACCAGAGGACTTTTGGGCCGAGGAGGGCCAGGAGAGCTTCAACTCTCGCCTTTTTGTCGCGTGCATCAAGCGATGGCCCATCACTTCGCTTCACCCCTTTGGTGCCCTGGTCGAAGAGATCGGCGTCATCGGCAACGTCGAGGCTGAGACGCAGGCGCTGCTCAAGGACACGCTCAGCTCCGCTACCAAGGCCTTCACCGAAGGCGCGCTCAAGTGTCTCCCTCCTCTTCCGTGGAAGATTCCCGAGAAGGAGTACGAGACCCGCAAGGACTTCCGCTCCAACCGCGTCTTCACCATCGACCCCGAGACGGCCAAGGACCTCGACGATGCCGTCCACGTCGTGCGTCTCGGCAATGGCAACTTCGAGGTCGGCGTCCACATCGCCGATGTGTCTCACTTT